CCGCCGCCGCCGCCTCGCCCCTGGGCCGGGGCCGGGCAGCAGGGCAGCGCACGCGGGCTCCTGGGCCGAGCCGGGGCAGCGGGAAGGAGAAGGGCTTGCCCGATGTAACGCCGGCCCCCTTAGGCAAGGAGGGCAGAGCCCTAGCACGGGGCCCCGATGTGACTTGGTGCCTCAAGGGTCCGGCCGCGCTGGAAGCGCTGGGAAATGCGAGGGACCGGGGTGGGAATTTTTGAGTGCATCTGGGCAGCGCACGCGGGCTCCTGGGCCGAGCCGGGGCAGCGGGAAGGAGAAGGGCTTGCCCGATGTAACGCCGGCCCCCTTAGGCAAGGAGGGCAGAGCCCTAGCACGGGGCCCCGATGTGACTTGGTGCCTCAAGGGTCCGGCCGCGCTGGAAGCGCTGGGAAATGCGAGGGACCGGGGTGGGAATTTTTGAGTGCATCTGTCAGTACCTGAAGCGCAGCCACACTCCGGCTGCCATACGAGTCCGGGGGAGAAGCGTAAGCTGGCATTGATACTCAGGTAGCAGATCCATCTAGCTGCTGGATTCTTCAATGCAAGTTTGCATTTGGAAGGCAGCAGATGGAGGGGGTGGGGGTGGCGTTTATGCAACATTTGGGACAAGAGGATCTGGCCTCGTTTAAATCAGTAGGATTTTCCGTTGCCGATTTCAAGAGAAGGCAAGATCGAGACCCTGATACTTAGTGGTGTCGGAGTAGTCGGAAGACAGGAAACAAGGAATTTTAGCCCCGGTCTGCAGGGCTCACTGAAGTGTTTGAAGTTAAGGGAGGACTGTGCAGAGGAAGAGCTCTAAGGATCAGGCCTGTGACATGCTCAGGGAGAATGAAACAGCATTAGGCATGTCTTCAGTGAAAATGGCTATGCTGCAAGGAGAGTGGATTTGGCATTTACTTTCTGGATATCATTTCCATAACAGAATGCATGCAAGTTTTGGCCTAATTTCTGCCAAAAGTGGGCATGCTGCGGGTACAATAACTGTTGTCACATGTGTTTTTTCCTTTGAACTGATGATCTGAGCAAAATAACTCCTCTCCCCCACGACCACCACTGCCATGTGTGAAGAGTTCTACAAATTAACTGTAATCAATGCTCATTTCAGCTGAAATTCAGCACTGCCTGGTTAATGCTGGTGATGTGGGATGCGGAGTGTTTGAATGCTTCGAAAACAACTCTTGTGAGATCCGAGGCTTACATGAGATCTGCATGACTTTCCTACACAACGCTGGAAAATTCGATGCCCAGGTAACCAAAAGAAACATTGAAATCCCCAGAAGTGCATAGGGAAGAGCTTCTCTATTTAATGTATAATTTAGTGAATTAGTTCAGATGCATCTTTGAAATCAGGTTTTCATTAAGGACTAGATCTCCACTCTCAGATGCTCAGTTTGCATTTTCTTCATAGTGAGTTACATGTATGCAACCAAAGCTTGTGGAGCCTGCTCCCATTCAACTCAATGGAAAAACTCCTATTGACTTAAATGTTGATGAATCAAGCCCCAAGAGCTGAGTAATATATGCACACTGTTTAACTAGTCCTAGGAAACAGAATCTGTCTCATAATGAGCTGTACCTCCAGCAGAGAATTTTTTCCTAGGTGCCCTGGGTAACAAACTTGGAGATATTCAGAATAATCAATAGTTTCTTGCAGCCCTCACGCAAGAGAAAGCCTGTTAAGGACTGTAGGATTGAGCTCATTGACATTAATGGGCATTCTGCCAAATGCTCTGAAATACTGTTAAGTTCTTCAGGGTAGAGAAATTATTGTATGTCCCTTTATTTCTTAAGTGCCCCTTGCATCTATGATGATAAAACAACTTCTATGTGTATGTACAGTCTAGATGTCACGCTTTAACTTTACCTTTTGACAAAGCTGATCAAACTCCACTGGAGAGATGGACTGCATTTTCCAAAACATCTAAGTGACTGAGGCTCCTAAGTCCCATTTTCAGAAGTCAAGCGTTTGAAACCCAACATGGGCTCATAAATCATTTAAGCATTTCTGAAAATTTTATCCAAAGTGCAGTTGTTAAATTGCTGCAAAAATTGCACAGAACCAGCTTAGGCATCTCCCAAAAGCTGCATTTGTGTAATCCTCTGGTTCAAATACATTCTTTAGGCGGTATGCGGTATTAAATTTGTCTCCATTTTCTCCCTAGACCATTTATGCATCACTGAAGCATCCTGTTATTATGTCTTGTAAACCTACTCTCCCATTTCAGTGGGGAGAGAAGAGAACATGACGACGGGCCAGCGGCATTTGGCTTGACCATGCAGTTTATAGTATAACTTAACTAAAGTCATCAACCGAATGCGCTTTCTAGAGCGTGGTAGAAAACAGAGCCGTCTTGCAGATCTAGCCATGCCATGTAGCTGGGCAGTGGCACCAGCCAAGTAGAAAAGAATGCCCCAGACCTGGAAATTGTAGGCTGTAATTTGCAGAAACGCATAAGGGGTCAGGGATATCGATTAAAACTGGGGACTTTGGCCATATTTAAAAAAAGAAAAAAAATCTCAGCCCTAGGGCACTTTTACACATGCTCCCAGGTGTGAGGGCACTTTAATTAGAGTGGCTCCAAGAACCCCTCTAATTAAAGTGCTGCCGCATCTCATGTATCAGTGTCCCCTTGCTTACAAATGGCAGTGAGGGCACTTGAAGTAAAGCTCATCGAATGAGCTTTAGTTCAAGCACCCCCGCCACCATTTTTAAGTATGGGGACACTGATATGAGACACAGGAAGCTGCTGGGGCGCGGTAATTGCCATGCTCCAACACATGAATTTCACATGACTGCGTTGCACAGTATAGATATTATCAACAAATGCAGAGTTTGTAGGTGTAGCAACTGGGAATACCAGTCATGTTTGTAGCAATACTGCAAAACTGTCAGCAAACAATTTTCCCATTGGATACCCAAATATCTTTAAAAGGGAACAAGGGCTTTTTGCATGCAGTTTTTTCCTACTGTAGTGCAAAAGCACTGGGCATCATGGGGGGCAGATTGTCTCCTAACATGCCCCAGTGCAATTCCCACTAACATTATTCTCTTTAATTTCTTAAACAAGCTTTCCTCACTACAGTATTTGAGCATCTCCCAAAAGCGCAACATAGACACCATGTCTAGAATTTGTCACATGATTCTCCTTTCCCTCTGCGTTCTGTCTCCAAAGCGAAAATTGTGTCACGTTTGGGAGTATTATGAGTTGTTGTGTACATATTTAACATCTGCTGTGCTATATGTTGATTATATACATGCAATGCTTGGAAGGGAAAGAAGTCATGTCCGAGGTAGCTCTAGCGTCAGGGGAAATGTGTGCAGCCGAAAGAACTTGGGACCTAACAGCGGCTCTCAGATACACCTGATGCTACAAATCCCTCAGTTGATTACAATGGAGTTACACAAGTTTCGATCCAAAGTGAATGAATACAAAGACTGCCCCATCTGATTCACAGATAACAAAATGTTCTGCAGCTAGGTTAGGCTGAGGCTGCTTAAAAAGGAAGGCAACATGACAGCACTACCACACACCTGCCATTCAAGAAGAAAAGCTGAGTGTAGTCACCAAGAGAATGATAATATACATGCCCTGTGAATTGCTTTGTGATCTAATAGCAGAAAGGGGCACTGAAAGAAGGCATCACCAAAGATTCTGAAAAGGACATGATCTTAGTCTCCCGCATTGTCTTTAATATAAGTTTCTTGTTGTCTATAATCCCTTTTGGAAGCTGAAAACTGAAGTGTTCTCCTTCCGTCCGACACAGACACCAACAGGTTTGCTCATGAGAGTTGGCTGTTAGAATTGATTTGGGATTCTTTTTTGTTGTAGAGTTGTGAGAGAGGGGAGAAGAAAACACTGATGCCTGTTTTTCCTCCAATGGAATAAAGGGTCTTTATTAAGAACTCTATGGACTTAGCCACTTTATAAAGATTTGTTTGAAAGTTATGGGCTGGGTTGATCTGGAGATTCCAGATATATTGGGACTCTTCCCTGGAGAATGAGAGACCATTAAGCTGGGGGCTATGTTGTCTGGAAAGGAGGTTTTTCTCTCTCTCTCTCTCTCTCTCTCTCTCTCTCTCTCTCTCTCTCTCCAAGGTTAGCAAGAGCTGGCATTGCTGTAGAGACAAGCCAGTCAGCTAGTGGGTGGAAGCAATGAAACGTTTTGCATGACCACTGAGAGAACCCCACGCAAGTAGCTCAGGAGCAGCATCCAATCCTACTAGAAGGGTAGGACAGAACAACCTGACATGGCCTTTAGAGACCAAGAAATAAAAAGAAGAGGAAGGGAAAAGTCATTAACAAATATCCTTAGCAGCCTAATAACCCTTGACATGGTCATATGAAGGAAAAGCTAGTTGAGCGTAAATCACCTTGTGTGCTTAATGGACAAAAGTACAGATCTACTCCATTCCTTTCCTTCGCAGGGAAAATCATTCATCAAAGATGCTCTGAAGTGTAAGGCTCATGCCTTGAGGCATAAATTCAGCTGTATCAGCCGCAAATGCCCTGCCATTAAAGAGATGGTGTTCCAGTTACAGCGGGAATGCTACCTGAAGCACGACCTCTGCTCAGCTGCCAAGGAGAACGTCCAAGTCATTGTGGAAATGATTCACTTCAAAGACCTGCTGCAGCATGAGTAAGTACAAGTATCCAGGGAGCCTACTCCTATGCCTAGTCTACCTACCCTAGTCCTGGGTCTTGGAGGAATCCTATTAGAAAGATACAAGCCATGTCTGGGTGGGACAAGCTTGGGACCATTGCTGAGAAACAAAACCCACCTGCTCTCTCCCATTCCAATCACCCAGCAATCAGTATTAATCAGAATACCTCTGACCATGGAAATGGAAGAAACAGGTTAAAGTTGGGATCTATCTTTTTTTTACAGTTTCTTTGCAAATACGACACTAGTATTTACTCATCTCATAATATACCAGGTGCTTTCCAGACTCAAAATTTGCTCAGTCCTTATCCTAAAGATCTTGTATTTTAATAGATAATGCAGACGGAGAAAAGGAGTAAAACAAGTGAAGCAGGCAAGGACACATTTGCACTAGGTAATATTTTGACAACAATTATTTTCTTTTGTAAACATACACCAAGGTATCTACAGGTGCCACTGAAATAATAATGTCCTGGACTTCACTCAGAGCCATCAGTATCAACCTTTTATGCTTGCCAAGGAGATGGATAGCAGCATAAATGCATATAAAACAACACACAAGACCAATTTTTTTCAATAGTTCCTCTCCCCTTTGGGGAGTGCAGATGTCACCCTCTCTGACTGGCAACTGCATGTTTTTGCAGACATTTTCTAAACTGCTAAAATGCAATAATAAATCAAGTACAAATTAGAGACAGACTAGGTTTTTAATCCCACTCATGTCCCATCGCACAGATGGGATGGTCCCTTCTTCTCCCACCACCTCCCTTTTTTTCTCCTGTCATTCTAACTTGCAACAACTCAGATCCTCCTTATTCCAGTCCCAGGGACAGATTTTTTTAAAATAAACAAATAAAGTCTGTTCCTGGAAATTCCATGAGCAACGTACTTTTTTCTGTCCAACAAAATCCATTTTTACCCTCTTGTACTAGCATGTCAGAAGATTTCAGTGATGCTTGTTCCCACTGCAGGGCACTTGCACGAAGTGCTGTCATCTGCACCCTGCTATCCATGTGCAATATAAAACATGAAGGGATGCTTTTTTTACATGTGGACATTGTGCCCACAAGCAGGGAGGTTCAGTCACAGCCTAGAAAAAATGTATTTAAGGGCATCTTCCTTTTGTGCCTCAGTGACTTCTCCTTCTCAATCAGATAATGACAAATTCCCAAATCCTATAGATAATGGTCAAGTATCACATAACTGCTTGGATTGCACTCGTAAGGTGGACTTTTCAAAGAACCTGGGAAACCAACTCCCTTTGGTTCTAGTGAAAATCCCAACCTTAAGGTACGTATTGCAGTCAAGGAGAATGCAACTTTGACACAAACTTGCCCCAAAATGGAGCATTGTTCAATGCAGTTTTTCAAACTCAACATGGTGCCCTGAAAGTGCTGCTCTTTCCACAAACATGGACACTTCTGAAGCTAGGATGCATAGCCTGGCAAGTGGACTAGCTTTTCTGCATTACCAGCTGTGGTGTCTCTCCCAGTGAGGAGCTGGGAATGAGCATGCAGTGGGGACAGCAGCCTGCCTGCCTGCCTGCCTGACTTCCAGTGGGGAGCCAAGGGAAGTTGTGCTTCATATTGCACAACAGCACCTCTCTGTGGACATTTTGGGAGCTGCATTAATAGGCTGTAAATTGGGGGTCCTTGGTTATATCCTCTGTCCTAGCACTCTTCATTCCTGGATCACGCAGTCTTTCACTAAGGTGAGTAAATTATCCTTGTTTTACAGAGAGGGTAAGGCCAGAATTTTCAAAAGTGTCCTCCAGTTTGGGGGCCTTAGTTTGGGACATGTTGGCTGTGCAGCTGCCACCTCTAGTTTCCATTGCTTTCATTCAGAGCTGCGGATCCTTAGCAGCTCTAATACGGACCCTCACTCTTCCGTACTGCACTCCTCAAAAGTGAGATCCCCGAATTCAGAGGCTGCTTTTAAATTTTTTTTAATCAAGTGGCTTGCCCACAGTTAATTAGCACATCGATGGCAGTGGATGGAACAAATCCAGGCCCTGAACTCCCAACCCAGTGCTCATATCACAAGATCTCTTACAGGCAGGACTGTAGTTAGGAGGGTAGTGCAAAGTAAAGGAGACATGGACAAGGAGCAATCCTCTGGCAGGCTCTAAATACCCATTAAAGGCACAGCTGCCAACCACTCTTTGTCATACCAACAACACAGTTTTTCTGATGACTTCGAAGAGCCTACATCCAGTTTTTAATGGATATAAGTAAAATTCTCACAGGCTCATTTTAGAGGCTTATCACATAGCATGTGCTCAAGTTCCTTCACATCTGCTGCTCTAGGTGAAAGACAAAGCTGTGGAGTTGGAGTAAGGCATTATTCAAGCTCATTCTTTTACCTGTCTTTTGCCATATTTATATTACTCCTTTCCTTTTAATGTATTTGCTGAAGAGCACCCTGAGGACACCTCTCAGGTTATAGTTCATTTGTTTATTATGGTGTTGGGAATGGTCTCAACAAATGCCTTTCCAGGATCTGGTCTATGCCAAATAATTTAAAAACAACAAGACCCTAGTTAAGCCTCCAAATATGGGGTAAGTTCCCCCATGCTCCTTCCCTCAAAGAAATGGGAGACATGGAGCTTGATAATTCAGTTTTAAATTTCAGTTTCAAAATAGTGGGGATAAAATCTTGCCACTTTCAGCCTTTTGGCCATCCAACTCGGCTTGTTCTCTTCATTCCCCCCTGCCTTTTTTGCCTGTTTTGGGGGAAAGCCTTCATACACAGAGCTCATCTGTAACCAGTAGTATGAATAGCTGAAGATAACATAGCACCTCTCCAAGTGCCAGACTCAGCTTCAGTGTAAGCAGACACAACAAAATCAGGCATTTTCCCTTCTTATACTATGCTTCAATTGGGCCTGCTGATCCTAAAGAATATTTAAGGCATATGTGAATCACCTGAATTACTACTGACCTAAGCCAGAGGTCTCCAAGGCTAAAACTAGAGCCACTGGCTCTCCCAGTCTGCCTGATAACAGCTGAACTGCTCTGTGTCCTGCTGGCACCTCTTGAAGACACTGTCCCACAAGACATGTCCCTGAATTTAAAAATATTCTCCCTTATACTCAGCAGAGTTATCTGGTCATCTAGTCACAGACCATGGTGCACCATGTGAACACAATGCCATTAGATGTAAATGAATAGTGCAAACAGTATGTAGCTTACGTGGCACGTTGGTAGGTGCTGGGTGCAATAAATATCTGGCCTGCGCTCCCTGGTTAGCCCCCAAATCCTTGAGTCATTTGCCCTGGTGGGGCAGGAATCTTCTTGCTGTGTGTCTCCTTTGAATAGCCAACAGGCAGCCCATTTACATCTCTGGTCATCCTGCAAAGAAATAGAATAAGTGTTGGTGAGACAACCCAGGATGGTAATAAACTGTGTTTTCCATTTGGATGCCCAGATCTCTCAGCTAGAAGGAATTAAATCATCAGTCCATCTATCCTAATATCCTCATTTCAGCATAGGAGGACAGAGGCCAATAACAGGGGAAGGCAAAGGAAGATGATTAAACTCAGAGGAACAACTACACAGTAGTTCATTGTTGTTCCCAGTAGGTGGAATTCCTCACATCTCAGGCAGGTGGTCATTTTATGCCCTGAGGCATGACATTTGATTTCTTCTCCAAAGTGTGAAAGAAAGACCCTGACTGGTACAATAAATGACACCGCTAGGCCAGGCAGTGTTCTGAAACTAGCTACACATTTTATGAACCTGATAGGTCAGGAACTCAGTTGTTTTTTGGGTCACTTACCTTGACTTATGAATAAGGGGTGGGGGGGCCACAGCAGAGGAGTGCCATTCTGAGACAGGCAGAGTGACAGACCACTAAATTAGTGGCTGATGTATTGACAGAGCTTTGAAAACAGGTTTTTATACCCAGCTCACCATCACAGTATTGAGTGTCATTAAGAGTATCTCCTTATCTTAGAATATATTTGTAGATTTCTTCCTGAACGGTTGTCTGTAGATTTTCTTCTTAAATATTAACTATCATAAACAGCTACATAGGGGGTGCATCTACATGTGCAATTAATGTGACTGAATGTACTCTGGTGCAATTTGCGCTGGAGTAAACTAATCCAGGCACAGCTTCTGAATGTGTACCTAGTGACAGGAACAAATTGAGCCTGAGTAGAGCAGCTTAGACGCTGGTTCCCTGCTGACTTGGCTGATGGGACACAATTTGTGCCGGCGTCACCATCTACACGTGCATTTAACTGTAGTTATTTACTCAGGCATAGGATAGTACTTGTGTCTGAAGGGACTATCCTACACTGGAGTAAATTAGTCTACTTCACCCTAATTGTGGTACACACATAGACAGTGATGTTTTACTACAGAACAAATTAGTCTACTCTGCGGTAAAGCACACATGTAGACATGACCAGGGAGGATGAGAACACCAGGAGTATTTTACAGGGGAGAAATTACTTCTGACTGCTCTCTAAGAAGGACTAGATGGGACCTAATCACTTTTTCCATCTAATTTCTATCCATCTGAGTTTCATCACCACAAGTACTTCCTCACACTTGGAAGCTGAAGTCTAGTCAAAGAAACTTTTCACTATTTTTCCTTGTAGTATCTTGTTGCAGCCAGCTCTAGAAAGAGTCCAAAGAGGTTTTCCCACTCATCCCTGCAGGCATATAGCCTTAATTTTCTTTGGCCAGACCTTCAGGGCTTAACCTATTTTTGAGTCTCTGGAAAGTAAAAGGAAATCCCCAAAAAAGTAAGCCCTGTTTTAATAAATAATAATAACAGTAACAATAATAAAAATGTATTTCTATATAATAATTATATAGTATGTTGTATAATAAATTCATATTATATAAAATATAATAAATATTATTATAATACAATTATAATAAAATTTGTCCAGAGCTTTCCCCACTCATCCCTGCAGGCATATAGTCTTAATTTTATTTGGCCAGACCTACAAAGGGCTTCCTTCAGGATCCTTTGCTGATGCTCAGATCAGGTGCTCTTAGATCAATTAAGAGACTTGCTTTAGACACACAGGCCATGTCCACACGTGCATGGACATTTGGTCCCCAGGGGCAACTAGCAGTGGTTCACCTATGTACAAGGTGCACTGTACAAGGAACTTGCACCACATGGCAAGTAACTTGCCATGCCCTGTGGTGCATAGCAAGTTACTCTGGGTGGGGTAGGGGAGCACTGGGCTGGCCCCAACAGCCGTATCTGGGATCCTGGGGGCACTGGGCTGGCCCCATCAGCCGTATCTGGGGGGCTGGGGGCCTCCCAGGGCTGCAGTCACAGCAAGAAGCCTGGCTGGCAGCCGCAGCATGGCTCCAGCCAGCCAGGTTCCAGTTTTGAGCAGCATGCGCTGCTCGCACATACACCGCTCCACTTCCTTTTTCTGCTATCCAGGGGTCAACCTCCTCCCACCCCCCCCACTGCTCCCTTGCAGTGTGGAGAACAACTGAACACACCACATACCGCACAGCTGCACTCGTCTGGACATGGTCACAATAGTCTGTCTCCAGAGAGACAAAGAAGGTGTATTCAGTCCTATGTTTTTCTTTCCTATCGGCCAAAGGTATAAATCTTGGCTTGCTGTTTGATTTCTCATTTCACAAATTTTAACAGTGATTCTAGTCCAGGGAGTCCAGTGCAGCACAGGCTTGATATTCTTTAATGGATCTACCAGGCAGAAATATCTTGCTCAGAGGTGGTAATATGGGTCTTGCATATCTTTTGTTTACCTGCTGGAGGTGCTGTAAAAGGACCTGAGTTTTAGTTGTAGCAAGCTCAGTAAGTGTGACTGGTGAGTGAAAGATTAAGGCAGAATGACCTGTCCGTGTCAGTCAGTGGCCTTACTCCCATGCATACTGTAACACAGTTCTTTCTTTAATAAGCCCTCTCCTGCTGTTTGATTTACCTTCAGGCCATACGTTGACCTTGTGAACATCTTGCTTACCTGTGGGGAGGAGGTGAAAAAGGCAATCACCAGAAGCGTCCAGGCCCAGTGTGAACAGAACTGGGGAAGCCTCTGCTCCATCCTGAGCTTCTGTACCTCATCTGTGCATAGTGATGTCACCCTGGGTCCTGAGAAGAAGCCAGAAGAAGCCAGCAGAGCCTCCATCAACCGTGGGGACTTGCTGGCCCATCCCGAATCTGACCAGCGGGAGAGCTCGCGAGCAGCTAAGGGAGAGAGAGGTAGCAAGGTTCACTTGAGTGCTCACACCCGCGTGAAAGCAGGAGTCCACAGTCCCAAAGGGGCACACGGGATCATTGACCGGGCAGATGAACTGTCCGATTTCTCTGACATCCGAAGGTGAAAGGAGGCACAGACCCTCCCCTCCCCTTCCACTGGAAACTTCCTCCATTGAGTCCATCTTCTTATCTATGGACATTCCTGAACATTTACCATTCAGAGGGGTGATGTCAAGCACAGGGCATTGTGGGATATGAGGACCTCAGTGACAGTATACATATATATATATATATAGAAGCAGAGGGAGAGCAATGGCTATCGGTTATTGGTTATATCTGGCGAACTCACCACTTGCCTAGCCAGCAAGTGTGACAAAATGTCTCCATTTAAAACCTTTTAAAAACAACAGAACAATTGGAAACAAGTTGCAATTGGTTTTTCTTTTGGGTGGAGGGGAGGCCAAGACAGATCATAGTTTGGCTTCTCCTGACTCAGCACCTCTGCTACGCTTAGGGCTGTCTTAAAGCTAGTTTCCAAAGGGATTTGGTCCCTGCACATGACCATGAACGTACGAGCTGAAAGGAGGTTGCTGTGGCACTCTGACAAAATTAATATCAGTTCCTTTTCTCATAATTTCTGAGCCATTGTTTGCATCTGGGTGATGCTGCCTAACTAATGTTCTCCCTCTCATTTGTATTTTAACCACTGTTAAACTTCACTCTTACTTATCCAGTGACTTCCCCAGCTTCCAGGCAAGACAACTTGACCATTAAGACCTGCTTAACAACACAATGAGCACATTTTCTGTGGACCTCCAAAGTCCCCAAGTATATCCTTTTTCAGGACCCAGAGAAAAGCATATTTTAGGGCAGCCTCTCTTCTCTGCCTGTGGACAACCCAAAATGTCAGAAGCAGGTGCAGACAGCTGATGCATCCTCAAAACTTTATGGATGTAGTTGGTGTGTTGGAGGCCCATTGAAAATCTCTCTTTCCTATTCTCTTTGGAAGTAGCAGGATGCAGTTTGCAAAGCTGTTAAGACCCAGTGTTTTAAATCTGCCCATGGGCTGTGGTTTATCAAAATGCCAAAGATGACTCTGGGATGGGTACAAGTGCTTGCTTTTCTTGATAAGAGCATGCTTTATAGTAACCTTACACCACAGAATGGGGTTACATGCAGATAGAGGAGTTAAGAGAGCTTTAAATTCCTGAGTAGTTGAAAGTTAGAGTGTGATGCTGTGAGGCAGCTTTTCTTACTTCTGTATGCAGTTCTGATTCACAGGTTACACCCTTTCCCTCAGATACTGCACTTGAAACACTGGTTTTTGCATCCAAAGTGGGGGAAAGAATGAGATTGGTGGTAACCTTTGTTGGGAAAGAACAAGTTTTCTTGGAACATAGCATCACATCAAAGATTTGAGCACCGGTTTTCCAGGTCAGGAAGCCTGGGTCAAGGATGTAGTGGCAGGGAAACAGTTTGGTAGTGACTGAATTTGCACAGGGAATTAATTAGTATCTTTGTCTCCTGGTTTGGGATGGGAGTCGTTTTAGTGCAGCTAGCAGATTTGGCCATTGCTCCTGCTGTGGCAGATACTGCACATGGGCATGTGTACACAAGTTTCCAGTTTCTGTACTGAGAGCTTTGCACATATGTCCAACAGCAGGATCTTGAGTGATGCTACGAATGAGGTTATAGGGAAAACAAACAAGCCATTAAGCTGAAAACCCATCAGCTGCTTGGTCAGAGAAGGGACCCTGCTCCTACTCCCACTGAAGTCCATGACAAAACTGACCTCAATGGAGAGATCTGGGAACAGGCCAAAAAGAGGCCACAATGCACTAGTGCGGCCACAGAGAGTAACCCGACCTCTGAGGAGCAATCAGGGTGCCTTCTAATACACGGACAAGTTAATGGATTCAGTCTTGGCAACAGCCCTGTGGACAGTCCCCACTTTGTGGCAGCAGGAGGAATGAATGCCGCCTTGTGAATATAAATTCCTATTCACCCCACCCCAAAACTGTCTTGCTGCTGGTGATACCAAGGGAGAGTCTCTGGTCTCCCACCTCATGAGCTCCTCACAATCATCTGCCGCCCCATGGTGGTGTATTGGCATAGCAAACAACAAGCTCAAACCAAAAAAAAAAAAGAATAATGGAAGCATGTTAGCAAACAGGACTTGCTATCAAGTCAGTATTCTCACATAACTCCAGTAAGGTCCGTCCATCTCTTGTTAGAGGTCTGATATATGTATGGGAACCAAACGTATTGATGATGTATGTCCTTGAATGTCTTAGTCAACATATCACCTCAGCATGCATACAATTCATTGTTATTCATTCATTCTGGGTGGGGAAAATATATATTCCCCCATCTTGCTTAGTCAGTGAAAAATTTCTTTATCATTTTGTTGGGGGTTTGGGGGGAAATTTTTGTATAAGGCATAACTTTTTCCTCTGTGTGTGAAGATTTTATGTGTTCATCTACTGATTCCACATATGCTATTATTGTAAATATTTAACATTTCTATTTATTATAGTGTCTCCATTTAAAAAAAAAAAAACCAAACCCAAACACTGCTGGCTATGATAATTTAAACATGTCATGACCTGTGTTGTATATATTCATGCCACTAGTATGTTTTTGTTGTTGTTGTTTAAAGCAACGTAAATATAATTTTATACAGTTCCATAATGTTATTGACAGCATAAATCATTTATTTATTGTTAAACCTTCTTTCATATCTTAACAGGTAGGGTGTGTTTTACCTGAGAGTATTTTAATCGAGACATCTAGGTAGCCTTAATTTTTTGTAAAATTATTTTTTAAAAATAAGTGTCCAGTTACATTGATGAGTATTCTTCATGAGCTGCTGTTCACAAAGGAAGTTTAGCTTGGAAAAAAAACAAGATGTGAACGTTCCCTTCATGCTTTGTATCTGGAATAAGCCTTGTTCTGGAACGGAAAACGAAAAAATAAACCAAACTGGATGTAGTAAAATGCCTACTGGAAAAATAAAACAAACAAATGCTGAAAAATGCTGTCCTCATTTTAAAAAAATGCTTAAATGTAATAAAAAAATCTGTCCTTAAATTCCAGAACTTTGGGAGAAAAACATACTAGTTTTATCTCATGTAGAATTTACAGCCAAATAAGCTTGTAAAAAGATGCATATGGATCTAGGCAAAGCTCTGTACCTTTTCACACTATTATTTTTCCTTAAACACTAATAAATGTTTTGAATAAGTCTCTTGCATAGGTTGCTACTATTTTTTTAAGTGGAATTGTAGTTATATCAGTAAGAGCTTAAAAAAAAAAACTCTTTAAAGCCAGGCTTTTAAAACAATACGGAAGTTACACAAAGGAGGCCAGGTCTTGAGGTGTACCTGAGCTGCTTTTGACTTATCTGAGATAAGGGTAGGAGTGCTTTTTTGGTAAAAAACCCAATCCTGCAATCGCAAGGGCTCAGTTCAGCTCTAGAACAAAATTAGAGCAGCTTCAGGAGTACTCTAATTTGCATTAGCTTGAATAGTACAAATACAGCCCCCAAATCTGTCACCCTACAGCCGCATGCTCTCTGCATGCCAGGAGAGCAGGAACAGCTTGAGCATGCTACAGCAGCTGTTTGCAGCCAGCAAATTCCCCTTCACAAGGGAATCTTGGCTCCTTGACATTGGGAAAATGGGGCAGAATCTGGTTTTTTGCTTTGCAAGATGCACTGCAAATGATGAAATAAGGACTCTGGGGAGCACAATCTTATACTCCCCTCTGAACCACTGTTAGATTATATCAAGGACCGGATTCTGCAGCCACTTAGTCTAGGATCCCTTTGAGTTTTGTGGAAGCTTGCATTTCAATTGGAGTTGCGTAAGGGGCTACAGGTCAGTTAGCAACATGTGATACTACCATAAGGTGAACAAGATTCTGGCTTGGTCTTACTTGTCCTCGTTTTAGATTGTCAGTGGTAGGTACGAGGAGGAACTAGGGATGCCTGAGGGGTTATGCCTTGACCTTTTGCCTCTGGAAACATGGAAACATGGAATCAAATGTAAGCTGCAATCACTGTGCATTTTCTTGTTTTTTATCTCGTTTCCCATTAACCACAAGGCAAAACTACAATTTAGTATCATTGGCATCATTTACTCAACAGTTAAATGAAGGATGCAGCACTGTAGACTTGTAGGATAGATACAGGTTAGCATTTAGATCCATTCCCAAAGCTCTAAAGGGAAAACTAAGACAACCAGCAAGGGATGCCACAGTCAGGATTGTGGTGTGGCACCAAAGCTGGGTAGGAGGGTGTAGGGACAGGATTGTGGTGTGGCACCAAAGCTGGGTAGGAGGGCGTAGGGAAGCTTTGACCCTTGATTGCAGGGTGTTCTGTTTAGATCCTCACTTGGCAAGGACTGAACTCACACAGCCTCTTAAAAATATTTTTAAATTGTAACAACTTCTGAAAATTTGCATATGGCTGCAATCCACCTTGAATTGCTCCATTGCAGTCTTTTCAGCCTGTCTGAATAAGTAAACTCTCAAAAAACTTAGAAACCAGCTGGTACTTAACCAATAGGGAACAGCTAAATCCTAGGAGATAAAAAAGCAACCCTTCCTCCCCAAAACATAGTCTTAAATTGTCTCCAAGGTTCAAATTGAAGCATCCAGAATGATGACTTGAAGGACAGAAGGCCTGGAAAAACCCTCCCTCCCCCCACCCTTCATATGGGATTATCTATGGGGCAGAGATTGACAGGGAGAGGGGCACTACAAAAAAATCCTAGGTCCTAAGGCAAGAATTATTCATGGCTGCTTGCATAAAAAGCTTATTTTAATGCTTCTTCTGCTGGGTTTAAAAATAACTAATCCAATTTAAGCTTCTGGATGAGATGGACTTCTCTAACATAAATGTGATTTGCAGGAATCCATGACCTGTAATATTTCTTTGCTTTAAGGTGCATTGCCACCTAGCAACAGACCATGCATAATCTTGATGTGGAATATACTTAACCACTGGGCAAAAGAAAAGTGCCAGCAGTGTGATGACAGAGCTACTGAGGAAATGGTCCTGTGCCAAGCTATATTCATACCATAAGGCTTATGGATCGGATGAGAAAAATTGAGGTTCTGGCCACTGGACATTGCTGAAGACGCCACTGCAATTTTTTGCAAGGGTTAGGTTAGTGTCCTGGACAAAATCTAGGTCAGGCAGTTCCCATATGCCAACTACTATTCCCCCTGTAGTTTCATTCCTTGCTGTATAGTGCTATGGAGTTGGATTCCACTCCAGAAGTGGCTATGTTTCAGTGATGGGTGAAGTTACTTTCATATTCCCAAGGAAGGGGTGGTCAAACTGCAGCACGCATAACACAAGTGGCATTGACAGCCCATATTTGTGGCACACAGCAGATCAGGGATGGGGCAGGCAACACAGCAGCACATAGGGCAGGGAGCAGAAAGCAGAGCAGCAGAGCAAGTAGGAGAAGGGGATCAGAGTGGCGCTTGGGGAGGCCATGGGGTTATTTGTGGCACACGTACCAAAAAAGGTTGGTCCCACTGCCCAAAGAGGATGCGGCTTTATAAAATGAAGGAGCACAGCCAGAGTAACAAGCTTTCGTGCTGACAGAATACCTACAGAGGGAAAGGGAATCCTCAGACTGGCATATGTGGCCACCTATGTTAGGAGAAGAAGCAGTAATTGTAGATACCTACTCCACTCCTAGACTAGTTGCCATGTTCATAGTTCTCTTTTCTGTGCACCCCAGTCATCTCACCTCTACACAGCTGTTTCCCAGGCCAATACAGTGAAAGAAGCCTGTGATGACTAAGTAGGAAACAGGGAGCACTCCTGCATAAACTCGCTGCTGTTTGACCTTCTAATGCAGCAGAATCAAAGCCTACATACACAGGGACAATAACCCAAGGGAATGTATAAATCTTTTTAGTTAAGCTATATCAAATCCCTTTGTGAACCCTCATTCAGAACAGTGTCCTGAATTCAGTTTAGCTTAATTCACTTTGGAAGTTCTTTCACTGGAAATGAATTAAAGTAAACTGAATGAATGCCACTTTATTCTGAATGAGTGTCCACCCAAGGGTTTCATGATGTTTAACTTTAAAGTGTAAAATTCATGCCTATAGCATGGATTAACTTGCCCATACATTTCCATGTACACAAAACCTCTTTCAGAGCAAATAATTTGCTCCACAAATTTCACTTTATTTTTTCAGGTAAAGAATTTCCCAAATAAATCATAAATTCTCATCTTATATGTAACCTTTGTGAATTTCTTCAGCAAATAATTCTTACTAGCAAAATTCAAGCTACCTGCTAACTGAATATACAACCAAAATTTGTGTCACGCTGGCAGTGGTGGCATTATGGCTGTTGGGGCCCTGGGCAAGAGAGTCATTTGGGGCCCCTTAGAGGCTTAATTTTGATGACCTATAACCCACCACAGGTGTATTGTGGATCTTTTTAATATTCTTTGGGGGGAATCGGATAAATAGTCAAGTGTCAAAATGCAAATAGAGCCACTTCCTTGCAAAACCTTCGCCCTCAAAAAAAAGTGTTGCAAAATTTTGGGACCCCCCAAAGTGTGGGACCCTGGGCAGTTGCCCGGCTTGCCCTCTCCTAAGGCTACTACTGACACTGGTTAGCTGTTACTCAAATCATATGGTATCTTTCCTGTTTTATTATATTATACTAGCACCTAAATGCTCAAATGAAATCAGCTTCCTGTTATGATACATACAAACATGTAATAAGAGATGTTCCCTAACCGCAAGGAACTGACAGTCTAAATGGACAACATGGGCAACAGGAAAACAGAGTGAAGGGACTTGTCCAAGGTCACACAACAGATCAGTTGCAGAACTCAAAACTAAACCCAGTTCCTCTGATTTTTAATCCTCTCCCCTATCCAGTCCCTCTCTGAACAACCTCTGCTTTGGTAAGAATACCACCATTAAAGGCTTTACCTACTAGAGAAGCTTGAGTGCTCTGAGGTTTGCAGAAAGTAAACACAGTACACAGCTGAACTGAAATTTTCTTTTCAGCTCAAACACATCCAGACCATTAACCCTTCATCCCCTTCCCCCTCAGTTTCCCCTCCAGTTCTACTCCATACGAATTTTCTCCGCTTCCAAGGAACAGGACTCCGTCAGTCTGCCTCCTATCTCTTTTCATACTGTGGTTCAAAGGGGAAAACATACCAGTATATTGTAGTTTAAGAGCTTTCCCCTACCCTTAATCAGAGATAAAAATGAATCTATAGTCACAGGGCCCTCAAGCTTCTCAAGTAGGGCCCTTCCTTACCAGGATATCTTCAACTGCTGTTGCCCTTCCAGACATGATTCAAAGGTCACTCAATAAGAAACAGTTTTTGTCACTGGCACCCTGGTGACAGGAATAGTTTCAGTGGCGGCTGCTTTGAGCAGTGATTACTTCTACTAAGTATCTGGACACAGAAGTTAGTGATGAGCACTCTCTCTTTTTTACTACTGCAGTTGTACAACGGGGCCCATGGAACCAAAGGATTGAGAACAAATCCATTGTGCTGACACAGAGAAGCCCGTACTGACATACAAAGCAGCGAGACAGGAAAAAGCAATAGGATTTCTGAAGCACCTAGTAAAGGGTGAAATAACTGAATCTTCTCTATTAAAGCAGGCCTGATGTGTCACTGGTAAATTCAATCAGCCAATGCCCATTAAAAGCAATTTCATGTCATGTCATGTATTACCAAAAATGGAAATAGCACTGAATTTTCATGCTATTTATGTTCACGCTTCTATTCCATCCTCAGCAAGTTCTAGTAGAAAGACTTCCATCATATACTCTGGCTGCCTGGGGATAGCTGGGGGAATGATGCCTGTCAGCAATTCAACCTTCAAACAATCGCAAGTGGCAGGGGATCATTTTTAGGCCTGGTTCTAGAATAACCCAGTGCTGCTGTTACTTGTGCTATGCCTGATCAAAAGACAAGCTTCAGTATACAGAGCTGCTAATCTGTCACTTTCCACCATTACTAACTTCCCTTACATAGAAAAAAAAGCTAATTGCAGGGAGAAGGTCTCTATGCAACAGTAGGATCTATGAAGTGGGACTCTTTTGTTCTGTGTTTGTTCAGCACCTACCATATGATTAGGCTTCTAGGCTCTACCACAGTAGAGATAATAATAATTAGTGAAATACTTACATCTGTTCCTTTCTGAAAATGCCAGCTTGAAATTTCATCTCCAAATCAAAAT